TGTGTGTGTGTGTGTGTGTCCCATGCTGTGTATATACTGCTTCCATTGTGTGTGTGTGTCCCATGCTGTGTATATACTGCTTCCATTGTGTGTGTGTGTGTGTGTGTGTGTGTGTCCCATGCTGTGTATATAGTGCATTGATTGTGTGTGTGCCTGTGTCCCATACTGGGTATATACTGCTTCCATTGTGTGTGTGTCCCATGCTGTGTATATACTGCTTCCATTGTGTGTGTGTCCCATGCTGTGTATATACTGCTTCCATTGTGTGTGTCCCATTCTGTGTATGTACTGCTTTCATAGTGTGCATGTCCCATGATGTTCTGTGGCTCGATGGACCGCTAATCTCATGCCCCGTGTCCTGAATATTCATTAGGTCTGTCACTATGTGACACTGAGGTCCGTTTGATTTCTGGAGACACTTTGAGTATTGAAAGTTTCTTTAAGTCCTGGCTTTTTGAAAGTTGTCCTGAGAAAGAGCAGCTTCGTGTCATTGTGCCCAGCGGAGACACACCTTGTGAGTACTATTATTTGACTTTATTCCATTCTGGACAAAAATACTCCTAATTGAAATGTTTGCAAGATTTGTGAATTCAGCATAGCCCAATCTCTTACATAATCCAACCAGAGAGTCCAGGTCCAAATGCAGTTCTCTGAGCTTCCCCTTATGGCCGCCATCAGGAACTCCATATTGAAAATATCCTTGTAGCGGAGTAGTAGTATTATCCACGGTATCTCCGTTGGTAGACAGAATCAAGCAGGCCCAAAGCAGGTAAAATCCAGGTAGCGTAGTTACAATCCCTTCCTCCCAAGAACTAGACGACACATAGCTTGGAGGTCAACTGAGGTTTATTTTCAGGTCACGGTATTTATGGGATTCCCCATGCAAGGGGTTTCCCTACTGAAATTTCAGGGGTTATACAGTAGGGGACTACATGGGGAACACACACAATTTTCCCATCATACACTGCTGGACGAGAGGGATACTCCCACTGGAATATACCGTTAATGGGATTATCCCTCCATGCAGCAAAACTCACATTTTACATAAAAAAACATAACTTTAACAATATTCACTAGTTTTACGCAAATGGACGTTCGGTAGATAGCTGGAGGCTGAGCGCATCGTTCGTGAGAATACCGCTCAGCTCCCAGTCTAACTAACCGAACGCCGTACGAAATACACATAATTTCTAACATAGGTTTTAAAATACCGATTATCGTAAGGGGAATAAACTACCGAACGGCCGAGGTTCCCGAACGGCCTGGAAGTCCAGCGGTGTTCGTGCTGTTGAGTAGCCGTTTTTAGTTCCAGGCGCTCGACGACAAAACACCGCTGGGCTAACAAAAGAAACAAGATGGCCGACCGCCGCGTGGTCGGTATTCGAACGACGGCCACCTAGAAACACTCTTAATTACCGATTGCAACATTGTTGCAATCGGTTAATGGGTGCCACACGACCCCCTGTGGGTGGTCGTGCGTTCGGTATGTTATTCGTTTCATGAACAGTGTTTAACTCACTGTTCGTGAAACTTCATTATGAATGCTGGGGTTTTCATACCGCCAGCATACGAATGCCCTCATTCGCCTGAAATACAAATAGCATTGATTTTCATGGCTTAGCAACAATACACACATCCTAATACATTGATAGTCTCTGGTGGCTAGTTTTGCCACAATCCTAGTATAGTCAGAGATTCCTGGCCTAGTCTGTTAGTCTTTCGGCATCAGCATAGTCAGTCGTACTGTCCTAGTCATGGCCTAGTCGGAGTTTCCCAACACAACGTATTAGTATTTCTGTCCCAGCATAATCTGTGTGTCCCAGAATAGTTTGTGCTGAGATTCTATACAACTCTTTTTATTGCCACCAACTAAATGTCATTCTTTAACTGCAGTGTGTTTAATTTGTGACGTTCACCAGCGGATTATAAACACAGAGATTTTGCACCAGGCACAAGGACAAGACTGCGCTCTGAGGGCAAATCAAAGAGATTCCACTCAGGAAAGAGTCACCCAAGTCATGCGTGTGCTCAGGTATAAAGGAATGATACCACAACTTTCTAGCTAGAGAATAAGGTGCCAACCACTAGGTAGAAACACAAGACATCACACTTTCTGGGTCCCAGTGTTTCCAAGTTGACATAGCTATATAGGTGTAGCAGACAACGGGTAACTCGACTAGTTACCGCTAATTCTCTTCTCAGCCAGAATGGTACCCCCAGTAAGCAGGCGAGACATAGTTCTGGGAGTAATCTGGTTTATTCAGGGAAGGCACATTGAATTTATACACAGACCCCCAGCAGGGAGTCTCCATACAAAATTACACTAACCCCTCCCAGGCGTCTCTTTATCTGAGAGATAATTGAGTCAAAGACCGGTAACTCAATTATCTCTCAGTTACAGGGAACCATGCAGAAAATACATGAACCCCTGCCCCCAAAAACCTCTCAAATTACACAGAAATTCCACATGTATTATATCCCCAGATAGCCCTAGTCGGTGGTGTCTTTCTCCTGAAGAGCGCTCTCCGAGCTTGACTGAGAGCGGAGCAGGCAGCAGTCTAATTTTCCCCAGGGTTCGTGAGGTAATGTATCCAAAAAGAGACAAAATGGCCACCATTCACTAGCGCACGTTTGTTCGGTTATACGAGTGGCGGCCACCCAGGGTAGCACTTAGATTAATTAGTTAATTTGCGGTTAACGAGCCATGGGGTGGTCGGTGTTCAGTACTATAAAAAGGGGGGAAGGAATCCATGTTCGGGAGCCGAACCAAGGTGATAGTGGCAAGATAACTCCTGAATGGAGTAACGTCTATAACATACAGATACTTTGTTGCAAAGGTAACAATACATTCCGCCACAATAGGGTTTAAAGGGACACTATAGTCACCTGAACAACTTCAGCTTAATGAGGTTGTTCAGGTGAGAATCATAGCTATGGATGAAGGGGCCGCCCTATGAAGAATGCGATTGGTGCAGCGCGAAACCACACATGCGCACCACATTGCGATGACGCTTTTCAAAGAGAAGCGTCCTATTGGGCCCTGCGATTTCGTCATTTGGACAGAAAGGGGGCGCGGCCTAGTGGGGAGCTTGGCGCTGGAACAGAGGTAAGTTTTATTATTAAAACTTACTTGGATTTTTTTTTTTTTTTTTTATGGCAAGTTCATATACAAGCAAGAAAGAAGGCTGGGGGACCTGTCTTTCTTGCTTTTATATGTTGACTATAGTGTCCCTTTAAGAATGTCCTAATAGAAGAGACAGATTGAGGATGGAGGCAGTGCAGGGGGAAAAAGGGCAGAAATCGGGGACAGGTTGTGGAAGGACTTTGGAACGGTTAGAGATCATTGAAGTACACCTGGTTTAGTAGAGAGAGAAACGTAAGTAAAGGTTGTCGAAGAAGCGGTGCACCAGCAACATAACCAAGTAGGCCTGTCCCAAACAATTCCATATAGGTCTGATTCTTTTTATCCAGGGCTGTGTCGAATCAAGGAGTCTGTGGGTCATTGCTGTATGGCCTTCCCACAATCCTGCTCCCCACCACATGCTGGGAATTGGACTGGGATCAGCTGGAATCGAATCAGGAAGAGTTTTATGCTTTGTGTCATTGTTTGCTGGTTAGTTTTCCTTTACATTATATAACCCCCCGATGTTACTGACTGACTTTAAGCAGCTGTCTCTTTTTGTGTCTCTCAGTCCCAGGAGCTGTCTCTCCTTGCATGCAGTACCCAGAGATCCCTCACACCGCTTCCTCCTGTCATGCCTCACTTCATTATTTCTGCATCAGACTCACCAGCTCTTCTCCTTCGTTCGGTTGCTACCAGAGAACTTGTCCTTCCACTGGAGCCTGCTCGTATTAGCTGCCCTTTGCCAGACAATACTCTGCACACAGTCCAGGTACTAGAAGCTCTTCCTAGTGATGGAGTAATAGCATAGATAAATAATACTCTGA